CGTGCTCTGTGGGTCTTTACTGCACTGCTGAGCTCGATCCAGGGACTCCAGGATCATGACCTGAGCCGAAGGCAGTCGCTTAACCAACTGAGCCACCCAGGCGCCCCTGTTTTAACATTTTAAATAAAATTTTTGTTTTTTTCAGCTTTACTGTGGTATAATTAGCAAATTGCAGCGGGATATACTTAAATTATAGAACATGATTTGATATACATGTACATATATATACATAGTGGTGGATTTCCACGGTCAAGTTAATTAACACATATATCACCAACTGGAAATCCACGTGTAACTTCTGACTCCCCCTCAAACTGAGCCACTAATACCTACCGTTGCCTGGAAGACTTACCGAGATAATGTGATATTTGTACATTATATGTGTTATACACTGTATTTTTACAATGAGGTAAGCCAGAGAAAAGAAATCACTGATATTAAGAAAACAGAAGGAAAATACATTTACAGTGTGTTATGGTGTTGAAAACAAGGCATGTGTAAGTGTCCGGTGCAATTCAACTGTGTGTACATACACATGTACATCATACATACACACATACGTGTGTATGCACGTACATAACACACTACATACGTGTGTGTGTGGTGTCTTCTACCACAGCCTCCAATCAGGCCCATGCTTGTCGACACAACCAAGGGGACATGGACCCTGGACCCTCTCACAAGTCAGCTGCTGGGAAAGAAACCTACTGTGAGATCCACGTGCCCTAGAGGGTCTCCCGTTAAAAGGCCTGAAGTGAGCGTCACCCCACCACGGGCAGAAGATCGGACCGGAGATGGCTGTCAGGATATGCCAGGACCCTGCCCTCATCATCACCTTGACAGGCCTGAAGTTTGCCCCTAAAACACATGGCCTGAGCCTCGTCCTAATCAAGTGTCATAATACGAACTCAAACCTGGGCCAGGACTCCAAGCTCAGCCTCCGGGCATTGGGCCAGAGATCTGACCAGATGCCCATCCTGACTCCCCACAAGCCCCCAAATAAACTAAGACCTGGTGCCTTCCAGATCACGCAGGAGAGCTCTCAGAGACCTGACTGGAGGCTGGAGGCTGTGCAGACTGCAGGTTCTGTCCATCGCAACTGGCCTTGGACCAAAAGCAACCCCCACGTGGCAGGAAGCTGCGGGCTGGGGCGCAGAGCACTGACCCGCCTGAGTGCCGTGTGGACCCGCACTGGTCCTCATCGTCACCGGCCAGCCGCGTTCTCGGCCGTCCCTCCGAATGGTCCTCCCCACGTCGGACAGCGCGCAACGGGGCTCCAGACCCACGGCAGCTCTCGCGCCGCCCTCCGGTCCACTCGGGCCAGTCCAGAGCCCTCCGCTTGCCCAGACTGTCCCGAGGTCCCCTTGAGCGTCCTCTGAGAACCCCTCCGAGGAGAACGGCCGGAGCGGGACGCCGTGCAGGAGGTGAGCTCAGCCTCCAGTCTCACGGGGCGTGGACTGACTGTCGCATCCGCACGGGGAAAGAGCTAGGAGGCCGCTGTTCCCGGCTCTGCAGGGCTTCCCAGCTCCCGCATGTGTGCCGGCGGTGGGACCCCAGGCCGTGCTCGGAGCCACACGGGCAGACGCCGCCTAAGCGCGTAAACTCAGCTGTTTTTAACTGGAACTTACGGAACTGTTAACGGCTTTTATTGAAAATGAGTCAGGGGGCGCCTGGGTGGCTCAGTTGGTTGAGCGACTGCCTTCGGCTCAGGTCATGATCCTGGAGTCCCGGGATCGAGTCCCGCATCGGGCTCCCTGCTCGGCGGGGAGTCTGCTTCTCCCTCTGACCCTCCCCCCTCTCATGTGCTCTCTCTCTCATTCTCTCTCTCTCAAATAAATAAATAAAAAATTTTTAAAAAAAAAAAAAAAAAGAAAATGAGTCAGGTTGTGTGAGTGGGTTTTAAACTATACTGTAAATAGAATGCTATGAAATTAACCTGCTTTGGGTCTGTGAATGATTACATTTTGATAAAATCTGGGAAAAGGACCCAGCCTATCTGGTGTGCATCTTTTAAGCAGTGACCTGTCCAGAGACAAGCGTTTTTGGCTCTGTTGAAGTGTTTCAGTGGGAACCATTATGGGCAATAGACTGTTGTCTTGTATATTTTGGTTATTAAACATCATTATAAATGTCTTTATTTTTTAAAAAATATTTGATTCATTTATTTGAGAGAGAGAGCTTGCACACAAGTAGGGGGAGTGGGAGAGGGAGAAGCAGACTCCCCACTGAGCAAGGAGCCCAATGCGGGGCTCCATCCCAGGACCCCAGGATCATGACCTGAGCTGAAGGGAGACTCTTCACTGAATGAGCCACCCAGGCGCCCCTGTAAGTAAGTATTTCAAAAATTAGTTCAGGATCTGCCTGGGTGACTCAGTCAGTGAAGTGTCTGCCTTTGGCTCAGGTCATGATTTCAGGGTCCTGGGATCGAGCCCCAGGGGCTCCATGCTCAATGGGGAGTCTGCGTCTCTCTCTGCCTCTCCCCCCGCTTGTGCACTCTCTCTCTCTTTCTCTCTCTGTTAAATAAATCTTTAAAATAAATAAGAGGCACTTGGGTGGCTTAGATGGTTAAGTGTCTGCCTTTGGCTCAGGTCATGGTCCTAGGGTCCTGGGATGGAGCCCTGCCTCAGGCTCCCTGCTCCGCGGGAGGCCTGCTTCTCCCTCTCCCGCTCCCCCTGCTCGTGCTCTCTCTCTGTCAAATAAATAAATAAAATCTTAAAAAAAATAAAGTATTAATAAAATTCTCCCAAATAAATAAAATATTTAAAATAAATACATACAATTATTTCAATATTAATAAAATTCTCCCAGATATGATATACAGGTATATTAACTTTTCAGCATTGAAGATCATTTTATAAATTAGTTTTATTCATCAAAGTTTATTTATCTGGGAGTAAAAAGAAGTTTGGTAGAACCTGTGTCTTAATTAAAAACATGAAATCTTAGGCACAATTCAGCCCAGTGCATCAAGGTATGCATATAAACAATGTTCCTTAGTGGATCTTATGTATATTAAATTGTGGAAAGCACTGCATACAGACTGATTCTGTTTTTCTCACACTGGAAATGGTTGTTGAGTTGTTTTTTGTTTTTTTTTTTGCTAACAGGTGTTGAGTGTTTTTTTTAAAACGTTTTATTTATTAATTTATTTTTAAGATTTTATTTATTTATTTGACACAGAGAGACAGCGAGAGAGGGAATACAAGCAGGGGGAGTGGGAGAGGGAAAAGCAGGCTTCCCGCCGACCAGGGAGCCCAATGTGGGGCTCGATCCCAGGACCCTGGGATCATGACCTGAGCCGAAGGCAGATGCTTAACGACTGAGCCACCCAGGCGCCCCGAAATTTCACTTTTCAAGTCACTGCTGGTGCAGATGTTGGTCCCCCAGACACCCCCTCAAGTAGCACGAAGCTGAAGGAAAGAGCACAGCACACACGGTCCCTTACACTCAACCATCATTTCTCAGCGCACACAGATGTGGTTCCAGTGACATGCCTGTTAGTCCTCCTGCCCTTGTCTTTTTTGCTGACCCTTATTAAATTGAGAGAAGTCAGTAGTGTCTGAGCAAGGCAGTATTTGAGAACCCCCATGCATTCATTCATTAAAACAAACATGACTGAGCATTTACCATGTGCTCTCAGGCTTGCTGGGATACGCTGTGGGCAAGGCAATGCGCTGGGGTCCTCAGCACGCTGTCGTTTAACCCGCTATACACCCCGGCAGCTAGTGGTCCCCCCTGGACGGACACGGTGGAGCCATCTGGGTTCAGTGGTGACTCCGTTGCCCAGTGCATGGAGGTCTGTCTTTGGAAAGGACTTGAGATTCCGCCTGAGGCCAGGGCCTCTGAAGGCTGTGTCTAAGTCTGGGCGTGAGGGTCTCATTCGCCGATGGGTTTTGATCACACACTCATTGCGTTTGTGCTCACCACCCCCCACTTTCCAGTTCTGGATTGTTGTTTCCTTCACTACCAACTCGGCACTGGGAAACAGCACATACACTTAGTGCCTTCTACCCCCTCATGTGCTCATGTCCTCATGAGGGGGATGGGAGCCCAAAGATACTAGAATTTATAAATCGGGCGCCTGGGTGGCTCAGT